AAACAAAACAAAACAAAACAAAACCTAATAAATGTAGGTGGTGCCAGGTTCGAATCCCGCTGTGGCCACTAGCTGAGACTGTATTTGTCATGGTTCCTAATTAGTTCAGATTCAGTTTCTCGACCATGCTTGTAAATAGCCAACTGGTTTGCCTCCTTGCCAGTTGGTATTCTCAAACAGTATTATGTTTCTATTTATCTATTTCAATTTCTAATTTGTCTCCCTAATTAGCTCTGATGAGCTAAATACATTGAGACGTAAATAAAGTGGATTTTTTAATATTTATTTTACTCTTAACTAAAACTTACTGAGTCAAAACAATCAGAAATAATAAGATATTTTATAAATATTATCACAATATATATAAAGTGCAATGTCTCAAAGTCCTGTTGCCGCCAATCTAGAAATATATATATATGTCAGTTTGGCTCAGTAGTCAGTGTTTAGTATTCATGGCCTAAGATCTTCATACTTCTGGCTATACTTAGTGTACTTGTTAGCATTGCTTTTTGCAAAAATGTTTTCAGAATCTGCTGAGAAACTGGGTCTGTAATGTATCTGGCGCTGCTTTGAGGTATAGTCAGTCGGCATTTCAGATTTGAAGTATGTGATAACCGTTACCCGATATTTGTATAGGAAATCATACCACCGTTCAAGAAAAATTAATGAAAAATACCACGCGCATTTGATGAAATGAAAGTGCTACGCACTCGTGGAATCAAGCCACTTTCATCAAATGCACGTGGTATTTTTCATTAATTCTTCAAGAACCAAGGTGGTATTTTCTTTTAATGATACGCATACTATTGTCACTGCATACCTAATTAGCGTGTCAAGTAGGAATTTAGCAACCCCCCCCCCCCCATTTATGGACATTGGAGTTTGCGCAGTGCGAGTGTAATGCTTTGCAACCGCTCCATATATAAGCGCCACACCCAGATCCTTGAATCATTCCGTCGGAAGCTGCCTAAGGAGAGAGTAGAAGATTCACCCCACCCACCTCCCTTGGTGGCGGTTGGCGACGCATCGCATGCTCTTCGCATGCTCATTGCCAGCAGTCGCGGTCACCTTCCATATCTTAATTCCCGTGGCTCGGTAATGAGTATGCAGTGAGGATAAAATACTACTTTGACAATGTGATTGCGAAATTTATTGTCAATAAGAGGACAGACACATAAAAAAAAATCTGAAGTCAATTTGTTTTTTTACAATAACAAAAACAACAAGAAAAACGATAAAAAACGTCTCTTTTCTAGCGATCAAAACAACCAACGTATAATGGCGTGTCCTCTTATTGATAAAAATCAGCCAATCAGCGCCCGAGAAATTTGCAAGTTATTGTAAAATTCCGTATAGACTGAAAGAGCCATTTCCTTTACTTATTGAACCTTTTTGAATGAAAATAATGATTTTATTTGGCTATTTTAAAATTCGAAACTCGTAAAATATTAATAGATGTTCTGGAAACGTTATATTTTCTACCGTTATCCCCGAACTGTTTCCGGCTTCAATAAGTGACAATTCATTTAAATGCACTTGAATATTTTTGTGTGTGCTAAAAATGTATACGATAATAATAGTTTACCGAGAAAAAATCTTTCGATAAAACGTAAAGCTGATTCGAAAACGATCGAAACCAATCGATCTATCCAAATATGGGAAAACGTTATGTTTCGTCTCTAACCACAGTTACTACCCAGAGAGTAAGTAAAAGTCATTTATTTTTAAGTGTCGTGTCTTAAGGGATTACAATCTTTCTTCGTTGGGTTCAGTAAACCTTTAACATAACCAAATCACGACCAATTGACACGATCGCAAAGCCATGATTGCTGAAGTTTTGGTTCTAATTGCTTTTCTCATTGAGAATTGCACTGGTGTTGCGCTTATAGAAACTTATGAAGAGAGCACGATACATTCGCCAGCAGAAGGAGATTCCTTAATCGAACAACATGTCAGCTCACTTGAAGATTTCACACATTTTGATCCTACGGACGCCATTTTCCAAGAATACGATCCTCCACGACATCTTGAAACAGATCCCAAAGCTTGGAAACAAAGTTTGCCATCTTTCAACAAGTCTTTCTGGGAGTGTCTGAAAACTGTGCTTCTCATCCAAGCGGTGACTTCGACAGTTTTTGAATTAGCAGCTATATTTGTGGTTTTCCTTGACTTCAGTACCGCAGAGGTGTGTTATAACAAAGTATGGAATGAAATGCCAAAGAACGTCCAGCATCTGAGAGTAATAGCACAGTGCGTGGAAGCTTTTCTTCTCCAAATGTGGAACTTATTTTGTATATGGGTGATTATACCATCTTCCTTGATCAAGGAACTCAACATACTCACACACAGCTTAGTGGCTGCCTTTCTTGACGTTATCTACAGGCTCTGCTTGCAAATGTATGGTATCTATAGACTTTCGTGGATGAAACCTCCTCTCAATGCTTTGTTTGGACTCGTGGTACTCATTAACCATTATCGTTTATCCCGCCATTGTTATCCTAACTCATTCAAAGACACTTTAAAATTACACTTTGTCATTACGTCTCAGTTTACACTAGGGGTACCAGTGTGGTATTTACTTGTGTATAAGTTAGTTCCACTCTACGTGCAGCAAGATGAACACGTCAAACTGTTTATTGCTGCGTTGTGTCCACTGTTGACTGTCTTGCCAAAAGCAGTTTCTCGAGTGAGTGCACAGAGCGAGATTCTAAAGGGGCTTATGCACCCTGGTAAAGCATATTTTCTTGTTGCAATCACGTATGGGATTTCATCTGTTGTATTTCGTGCGATGCAGGCAGAACTGAATAGTATTGGTCTCTTTATAGCTCTGGGGATAGTTCATGCTTTCATAGATCTTCTGGAGAGGATTACTATTACGATGAGAGATCATATTTGGGAGTATTTGTATCGCTTGGTGCGACGACAGAGAAGGAGACAACCAAAGTACCGCAGTCCAAGAAGTAGGCGTTTGATAGCTGATATCAGCATCCAGATCATGATGCAAGAGGTTACTGCTTTGGTTACGGCTTTAGGATTTATAAGTGTATATCGCTTCATTTATAGCCAAAAATCCTTGACGAATTTTGAGATAATAACCGATTTTTTAGTCCGTGCAGGGATTGGCTTACTCATAGATGTGGTTTTCAATGTCATTTCTCTCTTGATCCAGACTCGTGTCATGAATATAGCGGTGAACAGAGTTTGGAAGAAGAAATGGCGACACCACATCGTAGTCAATAGTTTAATTGTTTTTATATGTGTTTTGTACTTTAGCGAACATTTGTTTAAGATAGCACAAGATAAGTACGATTCAAGAGGGCATTCTAAGCTTGATAAACTGAACTGTTCCTTGCCAAGCTTCCTCTAAGGCTTTAAGTATTGTGCTCTTATTTTTGTGGTTTTGAGAGCGCATGATAACCTAACAACCGTTTGTTCTCGCTGTATCGTTCCACTTTATATTGTGAATCGGTCACAGATTGGCTGAAAAAGCACGTTTAGAAAGCGAATTAAAGGTACTCTGATTATGGGAGACGACGAAATGGACCTTATACATCTTCGTGCAATGATTACCCATTTCAAACCATGTCTGACAATGACAGTCGTTCCCTTGAGAATAAGATTCTTTGTTTGAATTGTATCTATATTCATGTGTCTTCTCATGTGCAACCGTTAAACAAAGAAATGGTACTCTAGGGAATGAATGACACGTAGTCCGTAAAGAGTATGCACCAAAAAGAATTAGGTCTATTCTCTCTCGCACTTTGATGTAAGAGAATTAGTACATAGAGAATTGCCAATAAGCACTCGATAACTTGCGTGGGAATATATTTTAGTTTCAGAGCCATGAATATTAAATACTGCACAGTTAATTTTTTTTTCGCTCGCGGATTCGCTAGTTTGCGAACTATATGATATAAAAACTTCTGACTATACGATATCAATTGAAAATCAATGTGAAAATCACTTATTCGCTGGGTAGGTAATAGTGACAATTTTGGATTCTCTTCGGTTGTAAAAATACGTTATTGCTAAAGAAAACGTCATGTGTTTAAGAATATTGAATTATTGGAAGTGGTGAGTTTGTGTCTTCATTCTTCCTTTGGTTTTTGTAAAATGCTGGAAATGAAACAAGGAAGTTGAATTAGGGTCTAACAAGCAGAAATTGTGTTATAATCTTCAGGTATTAATATGACTCTTTTAACTTAGTTATATACATGTATAGTTGATAAATGAATATGTATGTAAGTGATTACAATGTCATACGCTGGAAAACAAAAACAAACAAAAAAAAACAAAAAAAAAAAACAACACACACACACAAAAAACACACAAAAAAGCAAACAAACATGGAATGAAACCACATGGAAAGACAAAGGTTAATGTGTTTGATTTGTTTATTGAGGGAAGGGTTTTCTCATTTGATGTATATCGCCTCGTTAAATTAAACCGAAAGGTTGAAAACTGATTGGAATTTAGTAACTATCCCTGATTGTTTTTATCGTAGGAAGATGGGGTTAGAAACTATCTGGAGGGGATCTCATACTTCTTCATTACACTTAAGGATGCCTGCAAATCTTCAGAAGTCGACACGTTCTTCCTTCACTGGTATATACACTATGACACTGTTCAATTCTCTCATTTTGAGTTCGCCATTGCTCAGTCTTAGCCTCGAATGTCTACAAATGTGCCCATTGTATAGTAAAGCCCCGTTTACACTGGCGATTTTTGCTGCGATTTTTGTGGCAATTTTCGGAAATATGAAATCTTTTGTCTCATCCTTCAAAAGAGACATTCGTCTAGGAAAATCTTGGTATCCTGAAAAAAACCTTACAAGTAAATTCTTTACCATTATTTATTATGGACAAAATCGCAAAAAAGTCGAAGCAAAAATCGCCGCAAAAATCGCTAGTGTAAACGGGGCTTAAGGAATGTATGTATTACGAAACAGTACGACTGAGTTGATTAAAATGCCACGGAATTTGGTTGAATAGCTGAATATTATAACACACAACCAAGACTAAGGCTGAGAAAGGAGAGCTCGAAACTGGAGGATAATTTTAGGGCTATGATTTTTTAAGGTGGGTGGGGTGGGGGTGAGCCGAAACAGAGTGGGGAAAGAAAGAGGGATGCATTAGACAATCCTTAGTTCTCTAGCCTTGTAAAGAGTATACCTGACGATGAAGATGGACAAGAGCGATAACGTCCCGAAGAACACAAACACTAATCCTGGTTTTCCAGTTGAACTGAAGTAAACATACATGGTATTACACAACAAGGAGCCTATTATCATTGAAAGCCCTTCTATTCCTGTGATGGCTGTGAACATTGAACCTAGAACAAAACCAGAAGACACGATTACACTGTATACACCTAATTGAAAAAACGTTGTCGGGTTCAAAAAAAGGTTATATCATCAAAGCTAAGACCGAAGGGGAGCATGGGAAGACAAACAATTATGCTAATTTCATGCGTATTGCAGATTTCCCTTCCTGTGCACATTTTATGCATTATGGCTTTGGCATGTTGTTAATCTAGGTTGACCGACTTTGCTCTACTGTGCATTTTTACATGTCTATATGCAAATATAATACACATTTCGGAGTACCCAAAATCCTTTTCGGTCTTAGCTTCGATGATATGACCTTCTCGAACCCGACTACGTTTTTTCAATTAGGTGTATACACCTATTTCAAAAAACGTTATCATCGCCAAAGGCGATAGGCGATAGGCGATATGCGATAAGAGATAGGTCATTCCAAGATCCAAGAGTAGCTTGAATGACTTGTATTCTTGTCAAGAACATGGACCTTAGTGTTGAGACTGATTCAATGTTCTTTGTCGACAAAACCATTTCATGTCGGAATGAACCATCGCCTATCGCCTTTTGCGATGACAACATATTGAAATAGGCGCATACCAACGAGAAGCGAAAATTGGGAATCAAAGGTGTTGTAGCGGTAGTGTATTCAGGGTGTCGATAAAATCAATGAAAATTAAACAAGCTCTTAAACTAACGCACCTTTTTCTTGGATTGTTACAATATTTGCAGCCATACCCTTTATTGTCGGCATCAAGATCCCACAAATAGACCCGACAACAGGAACTAAACAGCATAAAGACAAACAGAAAGACAATGTTTACACACTGATGAATGCAAAAGGTATGTCGTACGTTATTAGAAATACTGCAGTAATAGAGTCCTTACGCTGCAGGACGGCAACGACGACGACGACGGCAAACACACAATAGCACTAATTGCGCTATTCAATAGATACTCGTTGGAATGTACGAAATACTGTGCATCATTGCCGTCTTATGCTGAAAGTAAGACGTGAAATGTCCTAATTTTACGTCCTAAAGAGAACGGCTACGCCAAAAGCTTATCTTTGCTGATTTTCGTTATAAGTAAAGCGCTCCCACAAGACGTCATTTCACTCCAAAACGGGGATGCTCATTGAGTAAAATACTAGGTAAACACTCAATAATAATACAATAGAAGGTTGAAGCGCCTCAATTTCGCCGACGTTGTCGCCCACGTTGCCGTCCTGCAGCTTAAGGTCCCTAATATCTCTATCATGGGGACACCCTTCATAATACAGGTAGCTAGCTGCACAGTCACGAAATTTTCTTTTCATATTTATGTGAAAACAACTTCTATAGAGGTTTTGCATCATCACGTGTCGGCGCCCATAATACAGCTTGGACTGCCTGTGCCTAGATGGCAGAACAATAAAATTCCTTTGCTTTCGGGAATTGAATTCTTTCTCATGTAAAACAATTGTATTGTTCCTGCCATCTAACATGGCTGCCGTCAAGTGATGGTGCAAAACCTCTATTTAGCGGCCGGTCCGTCCGTCCCCTTATGTTAAGCAAGGCCCGTTGTACGTTGGAGAATTAATGAATTAGTGGTTCTAGGGCAAAACTTTGGGACGTTCAAAGAGTGCGCTATAAATCCCAATTTCCTGCTATGGGTTCCCCAGAAATGTGGGAAATAACATTTCCAGGAAAAAGGCTGAAGTTTCATTCTTGGGTACGTGTGGGTAGGATCCCCAGCTCAAAACCCTATACACCATCGCCTGTGTTCTATACCTGTGAACGCTTGCTCTTTGTTAGCAACGAATCCAAGCCACGTCATTGACAAACCGAGCGAAAGAAATCCCACGCGAATGACGTTTTCCTCCTTCAGATACTTCTTCAACACTACAACGCCAATAATCCCTCCAAGACCCTCCATCAGGAACCTAAGGGCAGTGTATGCTCCAAGGAGTGTAGGAGAAAGACTTATTGGGCTTCGCATAAGATATAATATATTTACACTACGGGTGCCCATTGCTACGATGAAATATATAGTATTCAGGAGGACTAATACTAGGAGGTTCCATCTTTGGCTGCTTGGACGTGAGTTTGTGAACACTTGGATTAAACGTGTAAAGCTACCGGTTGTAAAAAGTGAATGGCTGTGGTCTGTTCGTGGAAGTGATTCAGGCACAGAGTACAAGGAATATGAGAAGGCTGCCAAGGAAAGTACTAGGATGATGAGACAAGGAGAGAGAAATCCAAACCGACTCATGATGATCCCGCTAAAAGCCTGGCCAAGAAAACCACCAGTGAAGATTACTAACTGGAGAATAGCTGTTGATGAAAAATGGAGAACAATCATCATTAAAATATCTTCACTACATACTCTTAATCATATTAATTATTATCACCACTAGCATCTTCACCGCCACCATCACCATCAAAATCATTCTCATCAACATAAACGACACCATCATCACCACAACACACAACACAATCACCACCACTATCATCAGCAGCAACACTACAATCATTAAAATCATCATCATCATTTGACCCCTGCTACAAAATTATCACTGCCAACATTATTATCATCACCATCATGCATCATAGTCAGCACCTGTAAGAACGCCATCGCATAATACGTATCTCTTATCCAAGAAAAAAATACGAATAGGAAAACCGTTAGCAGAAGAATAGTTGAAAATCATTAAATATTTGAGAGCAGATTTATTCACATTGCTACTTCATCATTATTAGAATCACCTTCATTAACACCATTATCACTACTTCCAACGATATCACCACCACCATCACCATCATCACCATCATCACTATCATCGCCATCACCACCATCATCACCATCATCAACACCATCACCATCATCAACACCATCACCATCACCACCATCATCACCATCATCAACACCATCATCACCATCATCAACACCATCACCATCATCAACACCATCACCATCACCACCATCATCACCATCATCACCACCACCATCATCACCACCATCACCATAATCACCATCATCACCACCACCATCATCACCATCATCACCATAATCACCATCATCACCATCATCACCATCATCACCATCATCACCATCATAAACACCATTAGCATCATCACCATCATCAACACCATCACCATAATCACCATCACCAGCATCATCACCATCATCAACACCATCATCACCATCATCAACACCATTAGCATCATCACCATCATCAACACCATCATCACCATCCTCACCACCATCACCATCATCAACACCATCATCAAGACCATTAGCATCACCACAATCCCTTTATCGTCATTATTAATATCATCATAAATATCATAATCACACTAATCTTCGTCAGAGTAAAACTGAACTTGGCGGATGTACTTGAAATAAAAAGACATACAGGATAATGGAGACCAGATTGTTTTACCTAACCGAGTAGAAACTAATGAAGTCTCTGTGGTGTCCGAAATATATGAAAAGGATGCCTGCGTCAATGAACCAAAGAAACCAGACAATCCATTAAACAGCTTCCCCACAAGAATCAGATACAAAGACAATTCAAAGTACACGACTCCAATGACAAACAGTGCTTCAATGATGGCTCCTGTCACTGATGCTAATATAGCTGGTTTTCGACCACCGATGTCTGTCCATGGCCCGATAAAGAGACCCATGATGAGAGAGGGTAGTAATTGAGATGGGACGTTCAGACTGTCAAAGTTAGAGGACAACGTTTGCACCTTAAAACAAAATATATCGATAATTAAAGGTAAGTTACGTATAGCTACATGCGTTACAAGGGCGGATCCAGGGGGAGGGTCGGGGGGGTCGCGACCCCCCTGTCATTCCTGAGGTCAAATGGGCTTCTTGTGGTAAAAATGAGACTGGGATTCCTTTGCCCACAAAATTTACCCCTGACACCCCCCTTCAAAAAAAAACCCTGGATCCGCCCTTGCGTTAGAATGGCAAGGACGAGAAGAAGGGTTGATTGGAATAGGCTGTTTGCGTGATGGCGTCAGTTAATTGCCACTGCCTAAATTATTTTCGAATTTTCTTTCTTATTCAAATTTGTATTCCCTCATGAGAATAGTAAGGAAACTGCTGCTAATTAGCAGAACAAATTAAGTGTGCAAGGGATTCTGGTAGTTGTAGTAAATGAAGCCATAATGTAAGTGTCCTATTGATTTTGCCTCCTTCTCAAATTTCTGCGAGCTGACCTTTCTTCACTGCACACCCCTCACTCATTCATATTAACGGAGAAAATAATTTTACTGCTATTACTTAAGTTACTCTCTTAGGTATTGTTACATTTTACTAGTGACGTCCTTGGCAAGCCACATAATGAATTAAGGTTATTAAGCCAAAAAATATATTTATCCCAGATGATGAACGAGTAGGCCATTGCCATAGATACACTTATTTCAATAAAGTTAGTGACCAAAAACCTAGAAAGCTGAGATCACTGAGCATCATGGGAAACTTTTCATATCAAAAAAGCATATATATACAAAGCTTTTTTAATACAAACTGCAGCTCGATGATGCTCAGAAGAGGTGAGACTGTAACCGGTAAAAGATTCGCAAGTCCATGAACAGTTATCAAGCCGTTGAACGTGTAATATGAATCTACCCATAGACCAAATTCAAAACTCGCACCAATGTGAGGCTTAAGTTGTGAACAAAGGAATCTGGCGTGATTCGTGACTTTTGAATCACGCCAGATTACTTTGAGTCACGCCAGATCCCTTTGTTCACAACTCAAGCCTCACATCTGTGCGAGTTTTGAATTTGGTCTATAATCCTTGTCGGCCTCAGCTTTATAGCTTTTCAGGTGACTAACTTTATTGAAATAAGTGTATATTAAATTCTTCGTTAGAATGTTAAGATGATTGAATTGTTGCTGGTTGACTGGGAAAAAGAAAGAACAATGGACCGACTAAAAAACTTGACATTCAAATTAGAGTGAAATAATTCAATCATTCACAGACAAAGAAAGGCCCGAGGCGGTTAGAATGGGGGAGTGAAGAAAGTGTAGTCTGTGGAGAGAGTTTGTGATTTTACCTCGTTCTCTAATTTCTTCATGGTGTCATTCTTCACTGCATTCATTTCTCCATGGATTTCGTCTTTCTGTAAACTGTATGGGAATCCCACCTTTTGGCTGAACTTTGAGTAAATGAACTGCTTCTGCAAAGGGATATTCATGAAGAAAGCACAAGCACAGAGGAACAGCACTGGCTCAACCGTGAGAAAAGTCTTCCATGTTAGACGTGAAATCTTCATGGCTTCCTGGAATAATCGATCCTGAATAAAGTAAAATACCAAGAAAACTGTAAAACAAGGTCGACATCTTTTGAGTAGAAAGGTATGTAATTTGAGATAATTCTCATACACTAACAATTTATCCAAAGGCAGCTCAATCTACGGGGGGTGGGGGAGGGGGAAATATTAGTGTACCCATGGATCGTTTACATCAGTACGACCATGTATCTAATGGCTTGTAAATTTTTAACCCCATTAAATCAACCGCCTTCAATCTTCCCCCTTTGGGGCGTAATTTATCTATCGCTTTCTAGCTAGCGCCACGTGTAATGTAGCAAATACAGCTGCTTGTTCTTTAGGCCACAGGAACCGATTTAAGTATGTTTGCAGATGGTTATGTAAAAAGAACATCAACACTCAATATAAAGCTCAAAGTACTAATCGCAATAATATTACTAGTAAACCTTCCTGTTTTCAACTTGGTGGGCACAGTATATATTCCTAACTAAGTTTTAGACTCGTCGAAGCCGCGAATAAGCGACATGAACTATTAATACGACAGCACTGACAAAGAAGAGCAATGATAAACAAGTTTGCTTCATACTACAATATCTCAGTGAATTCCTAAAGTATTCATAAAAGACTTCATCAAGACAGCTATTTGGGCTGTAAGTATTTAGTTTCTTTCTTAGAAAGGATATCAAAATCGAAGTAAATCACATACTTACAGAAATTCAATTTAAAATGGCGAGAGTTTCTTCGATGTCGCGACCAGACTAATATTGGTCTGACTCCTTGTTGACAGTGATTATATTTCCGTGTCACGCTTCTGAAGTCACACCACCAGTCTCTCTTGTGACTTAAATAGGACACTAAGTCACGGTAGCTGCCTTCCGTCAATAAGAAATATCTAAATCTTTGCTCAGAATCTTTGACCAATCGATATATGCTAAGAGCGACATGTACCGTGAAATTCAACATGTTGTGACTGGAAAAAAAGTTAAAAAGCGTCCTACGTACTTGAGGGCATACTTGAGTACTTGGTCAAGGGCACAGCCACAGTAGTACGACAAAAAAGGTATTGACATACGACCAAACGAACCACGAGATCCTACGCATCAAAAAGACTTTTTCACATCATTTGATCCCAAACATTCGACTGATACTTCGACAACATGACCCTCCACAGCATCTCGAAGAAGAACCAAAAGCATGCTGGAAACTCAACCTGCCAACATTCAAGAAGTTTTTCTGGGAGGGTCGCAAGTGTGCTGCTCATTCAAACACTGATTGAGACGCTCAATACAATCTTGTTTTTTTGTTTTTGTTTTTTGTTTTTGGACTTTTGCTATCGTTTTCCTTGACTTCAGCTCTGTTGAATGTTGAATGATTTTTTAAAGACCAATGGAAGACGATTTCAAAAAAACCTCAGTTAGACGTTTTATTATACAAGTGTGGGATTTCCCTTTCGTGGTGCACACAGTCTTTCCATTTTTCGATTGCCACAGCAAACAATCTCATTCGAAACAACTGTTCTTATCGGAGCCAAAAATCTAGTGTTAGAGGTATTCTGGTCAAAAATGCCTAAAGCCCCGTTTACACTGGTGATTTTGCTGCGATTTTTGTGGCAAATTTCGGAAATATGAAATCTTTTGTCTCATCCTTCAAAAGAGACATTCGTCTAGGAAAATCTTGGTATCCTGAAAAAAACTTTACAAATAAATTCTTTACCATTATTTAGTATGGACAAAATCGCAATAAAATCGCAGCAAAAATCGCAAAAAAATCGCAGCAAAAATCGCTAGTGTAAACGGGGCTAAACAAAGAAAGATGCAGAAACGCCACTTTCCTGAGTATGTTACTGACCACTTTGTACGTTAACAACAATACGTGACTGAAAATCTTCAAACAAAAAAGATAAATGAAACCAAAAAAGGTTTCGCTTGTGGTTTTGCGCATTTTCAAAATTTGTGATTATTCTTAGGATTTTTTCGCTTTATTTTTGGAACTCATACTATAGCGAAACTAAGATTGGACGAGCCTAACTTTCTTTGAAACTACTTCAGCGTAGCGTGCACAATACTCTCCTTGAAACTAATCGTCTTTCGAAAGTAATTGAAAGATGAAAAAGAGTAGTCATTAGTATGGTATGTTTATTCATATAAACATATAGGGGCTAACTAGGAAACTATATGGTTTATTTAGGCTCTAGGCATTTCCTTTCATTGCAACTTATATTTAGCTTTATTTATTTGACCAAATAAGTATTTTCTTTCTTTTCAATGATCTAAATATAAACATAAAAGGAAATGTGAATAAAGACGTATTGTATTGTTTTTTTTTTTTATCATATGACCCGTATCTGCTCGGGCGAGCGCTCTTAAAAAAACCTTCGGGGAAATGGCGTGAGCAGGGCCGTACGGCTCTGCTCGAAACCTGCGACCATATTGACATAATTTGCAACTTTTAAACTATCTTTTTTTATTTAGGGTCATATGATAAAATGCTTGTTGACTGAGTTAGGTCGGGCATTACGGGAAAATATTTGGCTCTCGTTCTCGGCATCACCTCGAGCCAAATATTTTCCCGTACGGCCCTCCCACTCAGTCAATAAGTACATAATATTTACATATCAAAACTAGATCAAAATCATTTTACTTCCTGTTCTAAGCTCTAACTGAAATGCATAAATTTTAAATTTAAAAAAAAAATTTTCCTTTTTCAATCGCTCGCGGACTCACTTTGGAATATGATAGGAAAACTCGTGAATCGAAACGATATCTAGCTCTTAACGTGTGATACTCTCTATAAGGACCATAGAATGCAGCAAACTATACGCCAAGGTAGCGCGCTAGGAAAAGCATCATTGTCTATACTTTTATAAATCAAAAATTAAAATCCAAATAATTCGAAATAAAGCTTCAATACTACGTTTTATGCTTGTGGCTCAGTGTTGTACCTACTAACACTACCTTTTGATTCTGGAGAGACTATGGTCGTTCCTTCTGTATTACAGCTATCTAAACTTTTTACGGGATCGTTAAGATTGTCGTCCGGTATTACGTCGTAGTTGCCAACAACCTGCACGCGATCTTTCTTGGAGAGAAGAACCATGGGATTCTTAAGACAGCTGGGGAATAAACCAGAAGTGATGCAGTACATTAATGGGGAGTTGTTATATATAGCGCATTTCACATTTTCTCAATGCACTTTACATTTATGACCAGTGGAGGACGTTAAAAGCCGATATTAAGGCGCTATTAGCAGCCGTGCAGCTTACAATTATGAGTGTGAATTGTTAGTAGATTAGTATTATGCCTACCAATTGGGATAGGCTGATGAACCGGGAGACAATTCCCTACTCTTAGGCCTAGGGCAAACGTCGAACTTTCCATGCACCGAACTTAATTACATCAAAGAATGCCGCCTCATTATCATCTGATATCCATTGTTTTTAATGAGTTCGGTGCATGGAAAGTTCGACGTTTGCCCTAGGCCTTACACGAATAATTCAACAGGTTCTTTTTCCTATTAACAGGTTGGGGATTAAGGATGGGAGACAGCGCCTACGAATTTTAAGTCCTTATCCTAGAAGACTTGAAGGTATGTAAACAGACCTACTTCGTCTTGGTGAAATGTTTTCCCATTACAGACCACGTATCGTGTTGTATATTATATATAATTATCAGTTTACATCAATATCCTTTATCTACCTTCTTCACCCAATCAAAATATGACGCGACCAATCATTAAAGAAAGAAATGACGACCAATTTGAATAAGAATTGTTCTGGACTTCCTCCCCTCTCTTACAGGTGAAAAACCTAAGCTAGTCAGTCAAGAACAATAGCCAATCAACTTGGTCACCATACGGTATGTCAATTAGGTGTATAAATATATACACACCTAACTGAAAAAACGTTGTCGGGTTCAAAAGAAGGTTATACCATCAAAGCTAAGACCGAAGGGGAGCATGGGAAGACAAACAATTATGCTAATTTCATGTGTATTGCAGTTTTCCCTCCCTGTGCACATTTTATGCATCATGGCTTTGGCATGTTGTTAATCTAGGTTGACCGACTTTGCTCTACTGTGCATTTTTACATGTCTATATGCAAATATAATACACATTTCAGAGTACCCAAAATCCTTTTCAGTCTTAGCTTCGATGATATGACCTTCTCGAACCCGACTAGGTTTTTTCAATTAGGTGTATATATATATATATATATATATATATTTATATATAAAATATAAATATAAACTAACCAGGTGAAACAAAATGGCAGCAGACATATGATAGCTCCAACAAAAAAGACAAATCCCGGAAAATCAAATTTTAGGGAGGCTGGATAGAGAGAGTTGAATATGAAAGCACCAATGAAATTGCAGAGTGTCTCGAATGAGGCCACAGCTGAGAAAAGGGCACCTGTCAATGAAACGCACACGTGTGAGCAAGAAACCATGAAGGACAGAGAGGGACAGTATACAGTATTAGCTTTGGGATAACGGAATTCCCGAAAAGTTATTTTTAGATCGTCCGTACCCCTTAGGAACACTTTTCCGGTGGTTGCCAATGTATATGTTTCTGTGAGTAAATTTTGGGGGTGTTGCGTCATTGCCGCCATGTTGGATGGCTTTGACAAAATAAATGAACACAAACAACATAGCGGCATTGCATTTTCCCCCCTTTAATTGTCGCATGGGAATGGACTCACATCACCTACTATTAGGAGAGGATGTGATTGTATTTTGCTTTAGCAAGCCATTTTTCTTGGATGACTAAAGTGTGGTCAGGTTTTGGAATCCAATATCACAATGCTACCTTACCTATAGGGTCTGCATTGTAATGATGCAATGGGCCACCCTATTAAGATCAAGGTAACTATCTATTTACCTTAGACTCTATGATCTAATGTATGGTGAAACCAATGCTACATTACCTTGTTCGTCTTTGCTGACAATCCTTGACATCATTGCCCTAAAGATAGGGACCACACAGCCACCAAACAGGCCGACAACTGGAGCTAAATGCAGGAGAAAATAGTGAATAGACCAGCCAGTCTTGGTAACAGGTGATATAAATATTGTATTACAAATATATTGGTATGAAGACAAGGGCAGATCCAGGGGAGGGGTCCAGGGGCTCAGGACCAGGGGCTTGGGCTCACACAATAACACCACTTGTGTATGAGTTACGACTGGTATGTGTATGTATGACATCAAAAATGAAGTCACTCATTGAGTGTAGGTTTTGAACCCCCCCCCCCCCCATATTCTCCAAAATCTAAAAAATCTTTGACCCGCCCTTGGAAGAGGAGTAGGAGGAGACAAGAGAAAAGAGAAGGAGAGGAGAGGAGAGGAGAGGAGAGGAGAGGAGAGGAGAGGAGAGGAGAGGAGAGGAGAGGAGAGGAGAGGAGAGGAGAGGAGAGGAGAGGAGGGTGGACAGTACCTTGATCTCGAAAATCAAAATTACATTGAACTAATCTAAGATTTTTTTAATGAACATTAGCTATGCCACACAGAAGATACTGAATAGAAAGCCCCCACACTAAATACCCATGGCTTGAAATTGTAATTGTGTCTGCCATGGCCCTCAGGTTTATGCTGAGTGTATTACAGGGGCAGATCTAGGAGAGGGGTGCAGGGGGAGCACACCCCCTAGATGAGCTGATACTATATCTAATGCAGTTTGTAAGCCAAGGGTACACCCCCTCCTCCCTCCTAAAACCAAAATACTTGATGATGCACCCCTCCCCCTAAAAACAATCCTTGATTGGCTCCTGCATTATCATCTAACAATACATTGAATATCTTATACCACACAGTTCTTCAATAATACTCACCCGTGAAGACAAGAAATGTTGTTTTCGATAGGCCAAATGTCACCAAGCCCCCTATACTGGAAACAATTCCAATCCTTGATATACTAAGTTCAGTCAGCCATATCCCAAGAAGTTTAATCCCAAGTATGGCTCCAATTCCAATACAAAGACTTCTTAACGCTGCAATATATCCAACAAATTCGGGAGAGAAACACAGTGGAGTATGAAGAACGAAGAGTGTGACGATACCAGTGCTTCCTTGGGTGGCGATTTGCGAAAAAGCACTGCTTAGGGTTAAAAGAATAAGGTTGAATCGACCCCCTTCCCTGGGAGCTTTATAAACAGCCAAAATTCTTTTGATGCTTTGGCAACTGCCGAGACTGGTTTTTTCTGTGACGTCACTTGGAGGTCTTGATTCAGGGAGGAAGAAGACTGTGTAGAGGACAGAGAATAGAAGACAAGCCAAGATAAACCAGTATGGCGTGATGAATCCATGGTTCTCGATCCATACGCCACTAGTTAGTTGACTGACCATCCCTCCCAAAAATGTCAGGAGCTCCATGATGGCTAAAACGAAAAGAAAAATAAAATAGTTATGTTATCTCTAATGTAAGTTCCTATCATTTTTTCTATCTTAGAGAGCAATTGTGGCTGCTGATATGATGTTGGTGATGATGATGGTAATGATGGTGGTGATGGTGATGATGATGATGATAAGGATGAGGATGATGGTGATGATGATGATAGTGAGGATGATAAGGATGAGGATGATGGTGATAATGATGGTGATGATGATAAGGATGATGGTGATGATGATGAGGATGATGGTGATGATGATGGTGATGATGATAAGGATGAGGATGATGGTGATGATATGATGACGGTGATGATGATGATGATGATGATGATGATATACGTCATTTTAAGTGCTTTATGACTGTCCACGGCACACATGCATATTTTCTACTTCTTCAGTTGCTAACATTACCTAAACGTAAAGGCCTATCAGATTCATCAGTGGTATCTGCAATATATGCCATAAGACCCATAATAAGAGTAGTAAAATATCCACAAAGTCCATTGATTGCTCCACCAACAAACAGAACATAAACTGGTAATTCTAAATACATCACCAATATTGTCAACCCTGCCTCTATTGAACTCCCTATGGCTGGCAACAAAAGGGCTGGTTTTCTTCCTCTTGAGTCAGTCCAGCTTCCAATGAACAGTGAAGTAAAGAGAGATGGAAGGGAAGAGAAAAGGACCACCCCAAGATGGATGTATGATGACAGTGATTGAACCTGTAATGATAAAAAGGTAAATTATACACTGTGAAAAGATGAAAAAACTTACTGACGTTTCAGATGCTAGTCCTTCGTCGGAGTAAAAGAGAAAGAGGTCTGAAAGAACCTGTGAATGGATAATATTTAAATAGTGTCAATAAATAGTTTAATTGGATATTTATGGTTATGGAACCTTTATTTAAACAGTGTACCCCATTCATCTAAAAGCTGGTATCCAGAGGGGCCCTGAGTAAATTGGAATATATATGCTAATTATCCTTTTCACAGTTCCCTGCGCCATCTTGAAAGGTAGCTGTGCCTTTGCATCAAAGTGAGACGAACGGTGACCTTGCAACAATAATAGACACCCTTTTTTAACACTTTGGACAATATTATTCACAGGTCTCTCTCATTGCAAGCTCACCCTTTGTCTTACTTCGACACAAAGGGACGGCTACCTTTCAAGGTGGAACAAGGAACTGTGAAGGGGACTATTAATTAATTAATTTATTGATTACTCAAATATTAAGAGACCCTTTTACCTAGAACATTTTGATTTCCCATTTCAGACCACCTATGTATCATTCCCTAGATAATCATTGCTTTATTTGATAGTTGTGCATGAGAAGACAAATGAATATAAATACACCTTTTTCGAAAATTGTTGTCACACCAAGAGCCTCAAGTAACAAGCCAAGGCTCCAGAGAACATCGGTACTTTTAATTGATTTATTCATGGTTCATACAAGTGGCTATAGCTCTACACTAATTATCATCTCAAGCAGCCTTGCTTGGAGCAATTTGTGAAGTCAATAAATGAAAATGCACGTCCATGAATAAACTAATTACAGCTAAAGGTACCGGCGTTCTCTGCGGTCTTGGCTTGTTGCTTGAGGCCTTTGGTGCAACGATGATTTCTGAAATAGGTGTATATGTGCATAGGATGGATGCAATTCAAACAAAGAAATGATACTCTAGGGTATCATAGGGTATTATATACAAAGAAATGTATGGAGCGAAGTTTGATGTTGAGTCTATGACGTCACAGACTCCAAAAACAATTGTAAAAATATCATACTTTCATCCTGAATATCGAGAAAACACATCATACAGTGATTATTGGACCTTTAAAGAGTATTCTTAGGAAGTTTCAGCTGAATCCAAGTTTGAGCGATTTTTGTCAGAGTAGCACTTTAATTTATTATTTATTTAAAAAATTTACACAAAAAAAAACCCTGAGGAGCTCTTCCATGAGGTTTGCAACTTACTGCACACCCGGGGGGGGGGGGGGGGACTCTCTTGAAAAGTGGGTAGGGGGGCTCGAAGGACCTTTTAGGGTCGAAAATGAGACCTTGCGTACCCTTTAGGGTCAGATTTGTTCGTTTTGAAAAATATCAAACCTCATACAAGAATATAATGGTTGGAAACGTTGTCATTTTTAATGTGGTTGTACCTTTTAAGGTCTGAAATCAGCATCTCAGTTAATTCATGCGTACCTTTTAGGGTCATTTTCAAAACCGTCTGTCAAGCCCCCCTATCCACTTTTCAGGAGAGTCCCCCCCTGGGCTGCACACACACATTACCTTTAATATTTACAGTACACAACACTCAATTCCATTTTATTCTCATAAGTAATTATATAGAATTTTCATAAGATGATCTGTGTTGGGTACCTGTTTCTCTAACCCTTTCATAGTCGCATTTAATGCTGTTTCATTACCACAGCTGTTAGATGCAGTTGTGTCGTAAGGAAATCCCTTATTTTTAGCAATCCTGAAGTAGATATACTGTTGAATGACGGGCAAATGCATGAAGAGTCCATATGCGTAGAAGAATACCACAGGTTCTGCTGTGAGCAGCTGTCTCCAGTTAAATCGCTTGGGTGCCATTGTTAGAGGTGGATATACTTAGGATAAAGCGACAAAACATGATGTTAGACCATCACATACAGGGGTAAGGAAATCAATCGCCCCTCAACTCTGGGGTGTTGGGTTCAATTTCTGGACTCAGTATCACATGTGAGTCTTGTTTTTAGGATTCTTCCTTGATTCAAGGGGCTTCAACAGAGTACTGGTTCTCTGTTCTTACTCCCTCTGCCAATCCTTACACTCTAAATTCCAATTTGATCTGTGAGTCAGACGTGCAGTGACTTTGATCAGCTTTTGCTTTGGTTTCAGGGTTCAATAAGGTATGCGCAATACCTTAAATTTTTACCCCTCCCCCCTCCCCCAAGATTAAGTTCCTCCTCCAACTTTTTGTTAATCAGGTGATTACTCGGCCATATGACTTGCATTTCCAATATTAAATTAAAATGTCTTCATTTCATTTCAAAATACCTTAAGTCTGATTCAGAGGATTAATCAAAGCCCCTGTTTTTTGTGTGTGTGTATCATATCAATGCATTTTCTCCCACCCGCGGGATGGAACAGACAATCCGAAAGTGATTAGCTTATGTAAGAGTTCATAACTTCGTATCATGCTACGCTGCAAGACATTTAATATTCATGGTACGATGAATACTAAACATGGAACCGGCTGGAGATTTCATCGAGTGCTCTTTTGCCTTAGATTAACTTAATGATAGCAATTTCTTTGGACATATTTATCCTAATTTATAAGGCTTCAAAGCTAAAATTTTTGAAACGAAATACTTTCGTTTCGGAGATCAAAAAACTTAGGTAGATGAAAAAAACTTGACTTACGATTTGTGACGATGTTCACCTATAAGCCTTTCTTGTCATCTGACACTGAGGGGAAGAAGTCAGTCTCCAATACCAGCCAAAGTATACTGTAAAAAAAAAAAAATCATGCACAAACAATGAAAACCACCTCCAAAGCAGCTGTCTTACTCGCGCGATCGAGAGCTTGACAGCACTTGACGGGTAGGGGTAAGGTAGGAAGTATTTCTCCACCCTCCCCTCCCTTGTGTTCTATAGTTTATTGTTAATTTGAATTTGAGTTTATTCCCCAGGGGGTGGTAGAGCGAATATTTATTTCGTCTCTAGTTCCAGTTTTCACTCGTTTTTATTTGTAAATCCAACATGGCGGACGATGTGGCCAGCTCACTTGAATACTCACTTCAGGTATTTCCAGCCCTTAAAACAAGCCTTAATTTCACTTAATCCATCCGAATCATTTAGATATTAAGTATTCTTTCTTTCTGTTAAATAATATTTAGATTAATTGGAATACTTGTATTTTTTTCTTCCTTTTAAACAGGCGTGTATATCTCTGCTTGGAGTAGATGTCTTAGACAAAGGCAAAGGACAACAGTGTATCGATAATAAGCTAGGTATTTATCATATTGTATCTAGCATTTCTTATTCTTTTGTTATTAGTTTATTCTCATTCAATATTCATTCATGCCCAGGTGTTGAAGCAGCCATAACTAGCTTCCTTGAATCTGCTAAATTGGTTGAAGAAGACTTTATAAGAAAACAGGCATACGTTAGAGTACACCATCCTCAAGAGACACTCAAACAAGTGAGTAGAATTATATCCATTGTATATACCACCAGCTAGAATTAACTGAACCCTAACTGGTGCTTTGCTGGGTGCCTGTGTATTTTTGTAGCATTGTTTTTGGAATCGAGGGTGGTGTGGTGTTAAAGTGCAAATGAACCCTTCGACAATACTTTCA